CATAAAAATCCTGCTCACAAAGAACAAATATTGTATCCATCCTCCATGAACAGCAATCACTCCTGCCTCCAGGGGCTCTGCCTTTCCACAGGAGAGGAACCAACTACATGTCACAAACAAATGTCCTTAGGAGCCAGCCTATTATAGGAAAGAGTGAAGTGGGATGCACAAAATGGATATGCTGATAGGAACATTGGTACCACAATGTCTTAGGAGGAAAAAAGAGTCTTTGCAGATGTAATCAGCTTATGGATATTTTCTCTTAGCTCCACAATAAGAAAAATGTGTGATGACAAACAGGATCTGACACCAACTCTCTGTGTTAGGGAAGCATTAGGGGAGGACGTGGTCTGGGACGGATGGGGGACAGCCACTACTGAGCTACGGCAAATTGTCAGCCTGACATTGGACCTCTAGTTGCGAGATCTTCTGATTTATCAAGAGAAGTCAGAAATCTGGTGTTTTTATGAAATATCCCAATTTTTAAGCACTGGCAACTAGCAACAAAAGATTTTTATGATTCTACATGGGCCAAAAAAACACATCTGCTGTGGGCAGTTGCCCACCGTTTTGTAAATCCCATAATAGGTGACTCTGCTGGGCTCTAGGCCCCATAAGCAGGCAGCGTATCTGTCTCTTCCACCCCTGTACCCCCGTCCCAGTTTGCAGCCCTGCACTGTGAAGGTTACGTAAATAAAGAGAGAAAATTAAGTGCCTTCTTCCTTCTGAATTCCTCATCATCAGAGTCAATCTGGACTTGGACAAGCATGTTCCTTTCCTCCTGACTCAGCCTCTAAGTCCTGTGGTGAACGGCGCCAGCAGCTGCTAGAGCTGAAATGACAGCAGCACCAGAACATCCAACCAGAAATCCAAACAAGGCACACACTCAGTGGGAGACATACCCTTTAAAAAAAAAAAAACAACCCAGAACATCCTCGGGTATTTTCATATGTCAAATGGACAGATTACTGACCCAGTGACAGAAATGTTTTGGTCTCCAAATCTTTGCTTTCTACTTAATGGTCTGAACTTGGGCCAGTAATTAACCTTCATGAATCTCAGCCTCCTGACCTGTACAGTGGGAATCATAAGTAATGGCTCCCTCCCAGGACGGGGGCGAAGATTAAACGAGCTAATGTGTGTCTGACTGGTTTGTTTAGAAGGTCCTAGATGCAGGGATTGGCTCCAGTCAATGCAGCAGCCAAATGCCACTGCACTTATCCATGCAGTGCCCAGGCAAAGACAAATCTGCCCAGGCTTACTCCTGTCTTCTCTGCCTTCCCAGCCTTCATCCTGCTTCCCCTCTCACATCTTCTCTGGGCTCTGCTGACCTGCCCAAAGACTGGTCCGATCTACCTCCCACACAACTTTTTTATAATATGGGCAACTTGTCAATGGAATTTCAACAATAATTGCTTTTGTCTAACATATTTTGAGTCTGATTGTTTCTGACAAATGTTCTAATCCACTGTTTTGGGCTGTTGTATTTACCAGCTGATCCTTTTAGCAAAGATGGTGGCAGATTTAGTCTTCACATTAGGATCTACGTTGGCTTCACTATTTATTGTAAAATAAAACACGTTTGGTCATCAAACTATCTCTACTCGCCATTTTTGCAACTTTTCTTCTTCTTCTTTTTTTTTAAAAAAAAGAGACTAAAAATACAGGGGCTTTCCAGTTATTTGCATGTGCTCAGAATGGTAAAAGTAACTGATAGGGCTAAAAATACTATGAAAAGAATAAGGCTATTTTGTATACTATGAAACAGAAGCATCGGATTTTAAAGCTCTTGGTTACATGAATTGGGATCTCAAGGGGAGACTTCTCCAGATCTTCCCTGAAAGGGGGAACAGTCCAAATCCCAACAGTTTGGTGGTTGGTCCTCCTTCCCTCACGTGCCAGTGCTGTTCAAGGGGTCAAGGATACAATGATGAAAATGACAGACATAGCCCCTGCCCTCATAGATTTTGTCCTGTAATTAACTCCTTCACTATGTATCTGGGAAGAGGGAGGAAGGGAGGTATCATTTAATTTTTATAGATGTGAGACAAAGTAAATCAGATATCAGCAATACGCTCACAGTAGAGAGCAAATGTCCATCGGAGGCAAACCATCCTAGAGAAAAATGCCCAGACTGGGAGGCAGGAGTTACCATTTGCAAGCCTTTTGTCCTTTACACATCTCAGTTTCTTCATTTGTGAAAAAGGAAGGGACGGGGATGATGTTACACTCACTGCTCTGCCCAGGCTGCATCTCATGGTGCTTGTGAGAATGTACCAAGGAAATGTATGTGAAAATGGTAATCCGTTACAGAGAGTTCAAGCATTGCTATATAGCTTGCTGCACAGAGTAAGTGTTTAAAAATTGTTGATGAAATTAAGAGTTCCTACTTTCTATTCTCCAGGGCTCTCACTCATATATGGATTACCTCACCTGGGGCCACGTTCAGATGAAAACAATCGCTTCATGCAAAAACTTGACTTAGAGTCTTGGGGCAAAATGAATCACCCCCTCAAAGCCTGTGTTTGTGAGACCCTCACAGGCATTTGATCAGCTGCAGCCAATCATATGGTTCTAATCCAAACATACGTGCTTCATAAAATGACCACTGGGCTCTAGTGAACACTCCTTATACTGAGGAGATTAACTCCCAGTGGTCAGGAAGAATAAATGGGTATTTCTATGCCCATTTGGTTGTGGAGAGGAAGGATCTTGGCCTCAAACAGAAACTGGTTTGACCCTCAGTAACTCATACAGGGCTGTGCTATCCTGATGAGCCACTGGGCTGCTACCACAGAATCAGGTTGACACTTGATTCCTTATTCTTGGGGCTCTACCATTCCTTACATCTAGAACCATAGAAGTTTGCAGTTGAAAGAAATCTCACAAATGACCACAAAATCTCTATGAAAAAGCCAAAGTCAAAGCTAGTTAACAAGGAGACAAAGCTAAGAAACAGCAGAGACAGGGATTAAAGCAAGATGTTCCATATGGGATTTTGCCACTTCACCATCCCGGCAACACTGTAGCTACTAGACATGGCGCTTTGTGGCTTCTAAAATTTCCTTCAGTACCTCGAGGTCACTCTTTTTCTTTTCTTCCCAGCATAAAGGAACTATTTGTTAGCTATAATTTATAGAGTTCAGATTTTCCATGTGCATCCCTGAAATTTTATTCAAAATTCTTCAATATTTCTCTAAATATTTGTTTATCATAAGGTTGCTTGCTGCATTTGTAACTCAAGGTTAATTTGCCTACTCTATTATTATCCTTATCTGGATGAGAAACTGCCCAGGTGTGGGCACATGCTCTGTGAAGTGCTTCTTGACATCATGGATGCAGCCTGGACACAGACACTTGAAACCCAGGCCATGTGAACACTGGTCTGCAGACATCACCTGGGCCTGTGGGTTTGCAGTCTGACTGGGGTTGCAACTCTGGTCACTCATTCATGGAAACAGATTTACATGGCAAATGGTTAATAAATGCAGGTGCTTTGATTATTGTGAGTTAGGTTTTTTGGTTTTTTTTTTTTTTTTTTTTTTATTATTTTTGTTTTTTCCAGTAGAGAAAGTCTGTATGTTTACTATTTGTCAAAAAACTCAACCTCAACCCCAAGAGATCCATGCTTCTGTGTGTTGGCCACTTCTGCTTTAGACTGAGGGTGCAGCTGGCATTGTCACCTACATTTAGGGGTCAATTGTTTTATAAACAATTATGTGTTGTAAGAACCATTTGTGAGAAGATCCAGGAACCTTCCACACTCCTATTCTAATGCAGCAGTCCTGAGGGCTTCAGGTTCTCAGAGCCCAAGAAGAGTTATTCATTTCATTTCCCATGCCCAGAAGAGGAAAAATAGTTGATTCACCATTGCAGCTAAGTTTCAGATACTACAGTGTTATACACCCAAACAGGGAAATTGTGCCTGTCATTGTTTAAGAAGGATGAGAGGATCTGTGTACACTTCTTCCTCCACACATCGGAGCAGCCAATGGGAAGCATTCTCTTCCACCCACCTGTTGTGTCTAAAAGTTCTAGGACCCGGAGACAAACTAAATGTGTTCCACAAATGCCAAAAAAATATGAGTGGTAAGTAAATTTCTTTTGTCTGACCCACATCACTCCTAAATACAGCATTCAGTTCATCTGTTGAGTTCCTATGTGTGCCAGGTACTGCGAGGGACGTGATGCATAAGGCAGGCAAACAGAAAAAAATCTAATGCAAAGTGATTCCTCCTACAGTTAAGAAAAGCACAAAGTGTCAGGGCATCAGCTGTGACAGATGCCTTACTGCTTTGGAAAGGAACAGAGAATGCTCCAGAATGGCTTTTGAATTTGAACTAGCCATGTGGATGGGCAGGGAAGGGGTTTTCCAGAAATGCACAAAGGCCAGGAAGCAGGTGGCATCATTTCATGGCGGCAAGTACGAGAAGACCAATATCCCTCAAAGGCTGGGTGACGTGGGAGAGGGTGATGACAAACAAGGACTGATGGTCAGAGACTGAGTCCTGATGGGCCTCAAATGCCAGGCTGGGGACTACATCCTGGCGGTTTGGGGAAGTTGGTGGTGGGCCAGGGAGATCCCGGGGGAGGTCCTTCCATTTAGTCCAGGCTTCAACTAAAGCAGGGCAGTGAGGATAAAGAGAAGCAGACCATTTGGGGACACATAGAAGGAGGTGATTAGTTGAACAGGTGTTGTAAAGGAGAGGGGGGCTGAGGATGGGTTTGGAGGAGTCTCTAAAAACTTCAGGAGTGGGAGCTGTGTGGGCAAAGACTGGGCCCCTCCAAACAAAGGTAATTTCTTTGCTCTTAGATTACAGTCTCGCATCATGCTGGTTCTGGGTATGGGGTTCCTTTTCCCTCATTCTTTGAGATTTCTTCCCATCTACTAACCCTGAAATCAATCTTCCCCAAAGTGTGCTGGCACACGTCTTCTATGTCCCCCGCAAAGTAAGGTGCAGAAGAGTTACTTAGCATAAACTCAGCCCCTTGGCACTCACGGTGAGCAGGTTGATCAAATCCATGTTGGGTTCTAAGTGGTGAGAGGCACTCTGCAGGGAGACCAGTTCACTCAGGGTAACGGAGAGCTGGTGCATTTTCACAATGTTCACTTTGTTCTCCTCTGTCCAGTCTGGGAAAATGACATGGACTGCTATCAAGTCTTTCAAGTGTACTCCAAGGATGGGGATTTTGAAGCCATCGCAGTCGGCAAAGGCCTTGCGGTAATTACAGTAATTGCCGTTGGAGGAGACCAACTCTGTCATTTCATTCCAGTTCTGGGAACAGATGGAAAAGTAGAATTTTCAAACAGCCTTCCCTTCTCTTCTCCCCCAGGCCCTGCAATGTGTGGCTGGGAAATTCTTCAGCTACTGAGAGAAGTATCAATTGCACCAACGTCGATGCATGGAACATTAACCAGGAAAAAGAAAGGTAAAAAAAAACATACCAGGCTTGGCTATGAGTTGGACAGCCTGTTCTATTCTGCTATAAGATGGAACTAGCCTGCACCTCTGCCTACCTACTAGGGATGTTGGGATGTTAAATGGCATCATGTATACTTAAGTATTTTGTAATTCATGAAAATACTACAACCCACAAATTCAAGCATGTAGCATCTTAAAATTTCCCAGTTGTTCAAGAAAGTTGCATTCCAGATATTACTTGAAGGTTAATCTGGGACAGCATGGGCTAGGGAAAGTCACACTGAGGTGTGAGATAGCTGTGGTTTGGGGCTCCTCACTAACTAGAAGGGTAACCTTAAGCAAGTCACTTCACTTTCGGGGGCCTCAGTTTACTTTTCTATAAGAAAGAGGAATTCAGATAAATAATTTTAAAAGACACACACCAGTGCTTCCAAGCCTCTGTGAGCTTCTGTCAGATTCTTATGCTTCACAACACTTAAAATTTGCTTTTTCTTTTAACCTGAAATTTAGTACAAAGCTAAAAGGAAATAAAACACTTACATAATGAATCTCATTACACTTGGAATGAGTGCAGAGTTTAAAGTCAGACAGTGGTACTTTGTACAGCTCACTTCCTCTTGTTTATATGGACAAGTTATTGTTGGTTGCTCAACAGCAAGCAGACCTTCCTAACAGATCCCAATTTTGATCTATCTACTCTTTCCCAAAGCAGCCCATGTGACTCAGAGGGAGCTCTTTCCTCCCCAGGACCAAGATGGGTTCTGATTTACCATCATGGTAATTCCCTTCCTCTGGTTTATGATTGGTTCAGGAACACAGGGTTCAGCCAATCAGTACATTGTATTCCTCTGGCAACTGTGATTGGTCCAGGGGTGGACATATGACTGGAGATGACCCAATGTCCAAAAAGAAGGTCTTTAATTCCATGGGGGCAGGGCTGAAGCGAGAAATCTATCTCCAATTTTTATGGCAAGGGAGCAAAATTTTCGTGTTGCTGCAGACAGCCCAATCAGGAGGGAAGCCAGTCTGATGAAACCAACCAACCAACCCTGATTCTCAGAGGAAGGCACAGTGACTGAGCAAGAGCTCTGATTAGACCACACCTGGAGTCTGCTCTGCCTCTGGACTTCCCAGGTACATTAGACAATACATTTCCTTGTGGTTTAATAAATTTGGAATTTTTTTCTTTTTCTTTTTCAACTTACAGCTGAAAGTGTCCTTATTAAAATAGCAAAGTACACTCTTTTTTTTTTTTGTCCTTTTTGAGACCGGCTGCACCGCACTCAGCCATTGAGCACTGTGAGCGCACTGGTCATCCCTATATAGGATCCGAACCCGCTGCGGGAGCGCTGCTGCACTCCCAGAGCCGCACTCTCCCAAGTGTGCCACGGGCTCGGCCCCAAAGTACACTCTTTCAAGAGAATCTTTTCATAAGAATGAAATACTTCTTTTTGCTCAGTAAGGAAGAAGATTATTATTGTGGTCTGGAAAGAAATATGGCAGAAAAGCTTAGTTTAGGAAGTGATCATTTTTTTTTTTAAATGTATTTTCTTTCCTAACAACTCCGTCATAAATCTGAGGATTTCTATACAAGCACAGTGTTATGAATAGAGTAGTCATTTGATGACTTTATTTCAGTAGGGTAGGGTAGGAACTATTTAAGTCTTATTCATCTTGGACCCTCTGTGTGTATCACAGTGCCTATCACACAGTAAGCACCAAATAAATATTTGCTGAATATTTACAACTACAGTATGTTAATGGTATGTCAAAGCATTCTTACTGGGACACGTATCACCACCTCCAACCTGTTTCTCCAGGTGAATTCAGCTGGTGTGGTTACTCCCTTTGATACTTTGTCCCCATGTATAACTTATAACTGGTTTAAGAGTAAAGCCTTCCTATACCAAGTGGAGTATACTAAACCTAAAGAATATACAAATGGATTTTTAAATTGGGATTAGGATCAAATCCACTGTACCTTTGTAACTTCTGAAGAAAGATGAGAATGGGTCTCTTTGAGGCGTGAAATGGAACTGTGACTAAGGCCTCCCACCACAGCCATCAAGGTGTTAAAATTTTTGAGCTGAAGGAGCTTCTGCAATAAAAATGTTAACATCAATACTTTGTAAGAATCTTTTAAATTATTCTGGACATTCTGAATTATAGGTAAATGCATGCACAATTTTAATAACAAGGACCTAGGAAAAATTAACATCAATTTAAAATGAAGCATAAATAGAATCCACTAGAAAAATAAAAATATATCAATTAAGTTGGGCATCTGAACACACCTCTCTCAACACTGGACAGATCATGTAGGCAACAAACCAACAGAGAAACACAGAATTTAAACTACACTTTAGACCAGTTGGATTTGGCAGATACTTACAGAACTTTTCATCCAACAACTAAAGAATATACATTCCTCTCAACAGCACATGGAACATTCTCCAGTACTGACCACATTTTAGGTCACAAGTCAAGTCTCAACAAATTTTTAAAAATTGAAATCATTACAAACATCATTTCAGACCACAACAGATTAAAGCTAGAAATCCATAACAAGCAAAGCTCTGGAAACTACACAAATACACAGAAATTAAACAACATGCTCCTGAAGGACCTATGGGTTCAAGAAGAAATTAAACAGGAAATCAAAAAATTTCTTGAAACTAATAAAAATAAAAACACATCATACCAAAACCTGTGGGATACAGCAAAAGCAGTACAAAGAGGGAAGTTTATTGCAATAAATGCTTACATCAAAAGAATAGAAAGATTTCAAATAAACAACCTAACACTATACCTCAAAGAACTAGAAAAACAAGAACAATCCAATCCCAAAATTACTAGACAAAAAGAAATAATATCAGAGCAGAACTAAATGAAACAGAGTCCCCCAAAATGGTACAAAAGGTCAATGAAATAAAAAGTTGTTTTTTTGAATAGATAAACAAAATAGACAAACCATTACCTAGGCTAACTACAAAAAGAAGAGAGAAGACCCAAATAACAAAAATCAGAAATGAAAGAGGAGGCATTACAACCTATACCACAGAAATACAAAGAATTATTAGAGACTATTATAAACAATTATACACCAACAAATTTGAAAATCTAGAGGAAATGAATAAATTTCTGGACACATACAAGATATCAAGACTGAACCAAGAAGAAACAGAAAACCTGAACAGACCAATAACAAGCAACAAGATTGAAGCAGTAATCAGCAGTCTCTCAACAAAGAAAAGCCCAGGACCAGATGTCTTTACTACTGAATAATACCAAACTTTTAAAGAGGAATTAATACCAATTCTCTTCAAACTATTCGAAAATATTAAAAAAGAAGCCATTCTCCCAAACTCATTCTATGAGGCCAGCATCACCCTGATACCAAAACCTGACAAAGATACAAGAAAAAAAGAAAACTGCAGGCCAATATCTCTGATGAACATAAACACAAAAATCCCAAACAAAATATTAGTAATCAGAATACAGCAACACATCAAAAAAATTATACACCATGATCAAGTGTGATTCATCCCAGGGATGCAAGGATGGTTCAATATATGCAAGTTAATAAATGTGATACACCACATCAACAAAATCAAGGGCAAAAACCATACAATTATCTCAATAGATGCAGAAAAAGCATTTGACAAAATTCAACATCCTTTCATGATAAAGACTCTCAGCAAGTTAGGTATAGAAGGAAAATATCCCAACACAATAAAAGCCATATACAGCAAACTCACCACCAATATCATCCTGAATGGGGAAAAGCTGAAAGCCTTTCCCTTAAGAACAAGACAAGAATGCCCACTCTTACCACCCCTATTTAACATGGTATTAGAAGTACTAGCCAGAGGGCTGAGCCCGTGGTGCACTCGGGAGAGTGCAGTGCTGGGAGTGCAGCAGCACTCCCGCTGCAGGTTCGGATCCTATATAGGGATGACCGGTGCGCTCACAGTGCTCACTGGCTGAGCGCGGTGCGGCCGGTCTCAAAAAGGACAAAAAAAAAAGAAGTACTAGCCAGAGCAATCAGGCAAGAGAAAGAAATAAAGGGCATGCAGATTGGAAAAGATGAAGTCAAACTGTCCCTGTTTGCAGATGATCCTATACAGAGAAATACCTAAAGACTACCAAAAAACTCTTAGAGCTGATAAATGATTTCAGTAAAGTTGCAGGACACAAAACCAACATTCAAAAATCAGGAGCGTTTTTATACTCCAACAATGAGCAGAAAAAGAAATCCAGAAAGCAAGCCCATTTACAATAGTCACCAAAAAAATAAAATACCTAGGAATAAATTTAACCAAGGAGGTGAAAGATCTCTACAATAAGAACTACAAACCACTGCTGAAAGAAATTAAAGAGGGCACAAAAAGATGGAAAGACATTCCATGCTCTTGGATTGGAAGAAACACCACTGCAAAAATGTCCATAATACCCAAAATGATCTGCAAATTCAGTGTGATCCCCATCAAAATACCAATGACATTCTTCACAGAAGTATAAAAAACAATCCTAACATTCATATGGAATGAAAAAAGACCCCAAATAGCCAAAGCTATCTGGAGAAAAAAATAATAAAGTCAGAGCCATTACACCATCTGACCTCAAACTATTCTACCTTGTTCTATTCTGTTTTGTTTAGTAACCAAAACAGCATGGTACTGGCATGAAAACAGACGCTCAAACCAATGGAACACAATACAGAACCCAGATATCAACCCACATACTTACAACCAACTGATATTTAACAAGGGCAACAGGACCATACATTGGGGAAAGGACTGCCTCTTCAATAAGACGTGCTGGGAAAACTGGACATCCATAGGCAGAAGAGTGAAACCACACCTGTACTTCTCACCATATACCAAAATCAACTCAAAATGGATTAAGACTTATATATAAGACCCAAAACTATAAAACTGCTAAAAGAAAACATAAGGGAAACACTTCAGGAAATAGGACTAGGCAAAGACTTTGTGAACAAGACCCAAAAGCACAGGCAATAAAAGGGAAAATAAACAAATGGGATCATATCAAAGTAAAAAACTTCTGCACAGCAAAAGAAACAGTTAACGGAGCAAAACGACAACCAACAGAATGGGAGAAAATATTTACAAACTATGCATTCGACAAGGGATTAATGTCCAGAATATACAAGCAACTCAAACAACTTAACAGTAAAAAAACAAGTAACCCAATTAAATAATGGGCCAAGGAGCTGAACAGGCATTTCTCAATGGAAGATATGCAAATGGCTAAAAGACACATGAAAANAAGGAGCTGAACAGGCATTTCTCAATGGAAGATATGCAAATGGCTAAAAGACACATGAAAAAATGCTCAACATCACTAATCATCAGGGGAATGCAAATTAAAACCATACTGAGATATCATCACACCCCAGTTAGACTGGCTATGATCAAAAAGAGAATAAAAAATGCTGGAGAGGATGAGAAGAAAGGGGAACCCCCCTACACTGTTGGTGGAACTGTAAATTAGTGCAGCCATTATGGAAAACACTATGGAGGTTCCTCAACACTATGTTGGCTGCCATATGATCCAACAATCCCATTGCTGGAATATGTACCCAAAGGAATAGAAATCATCATGTCGAAGGGATACCTGCACAGCTCTATTTACAGTAGTTAAAATACGGAACCAACCTAAATGTCCATTGACAGACAACTGGACAAGAAAAATGTGGTATAGATACTCAATGGAATACTACTCAGCCATAAAAAAGAATGAAATTCTGCCATTTACAGCAACATGGAT